ATTATACATCCTCTGAGTCTCAGATACCACATTTGGAAGAGGGTCTTTAACAAATGGTCATAAAGGGTTCATCCACTCTAGACTTCTAATCTTTTTAAATACAAGAAAGGATAGAAGATGTCAAGATTAGAGGATAATCCAGTATGGAGCTGGAGGAGAGGCAGTGACAGGGGTGGCCAGGTGAGTATCCCTAGAACATGGCAGAAATGACTCTTTGGAGAAATGTGATCTCTCTGTGGCCATCTGGCCTTTGGGAAAATTGTGAAGGGAAGAAGTTTCTCATTCCTGTTCCGACCTCCCACTTTGTCATCAAAATGATTGTTTGGGTGCTCTACTTCCCATGGTCAGGACTAGGGTGAGACAACAGAAGCATTTACTTTGGAAGCAAAATTTAAGGAAGCACCAACAAGCTCAGTAATCAAGAAAATATTTTAATGTAACACTTCAAAATCTAAATTAGTGCAAAAATCCATGATGAACAAGATATCAAAATTTGGGGGCACCTGCTGGTTCAGTCAGTAGAGCATGTGACTCTTGATCTCAGGTTCATGAGTTTCAGCCCAACATTGGGCATAGAACTTACATTAAAAAAAGCGGGGCGCCTGGGTGGCGCAGTCGGTTAAGCGTCCGACTTCAGCCAGGTCACGATCTCGCGGTCCGTGAGTTCAAGCCCCGCGTCGGGCTCTGGGCTGATGGCTCAGAGCCTGGAGCCTGTTTCCGATTCTGTGTCTCCCTCTCTCTCTGCCCCTCCCCCGTTCATGCTCTGTCTCTCTCTGTCCCAAAAATAAATAAACGTTGAAAAAAAAAAAAAAAGAAAAAAAGACCCCATGTCGGGCTCTGTGCTGACAGCTCAGAGCCTTGAGCCTGCTTCTGATTCTGTGTCTTCCTCTCTCTATCTTCACACTGTCTCTCTGTCTCTCTCTCTCAAAAATAAATAAACATTAAAAAAAATTTTTTTAAAGATATCAGGGGTGCCTTGGTGGCTCAGTTGGTTAAGTGTTGGAGTCTTGATCTTGGCTCAGGTCATGATCTCACAGTTTGTGGGACTGAGCCCCACATAGGGCTCTGTACTGATGATGTAGAGACTGCTTGGGATTCTCTCTCTCCCTCTTTCTCTGCCCCTCCCCCACGCTCTTTCTCTCTCTCTCTCTCTCTCTCAAAATAAATAAATAAACTTTAAAAAAAGATATCAAGATTTTAAAAGTCACGATCAGTATTGTGTTTTTCTTTTGCCTCAGGTTCCAATATGGCTCACCTCAACACTTCATCTGATTCTCATTTCCTCTCATTCTGATGAAACACAGGTGTGAGTGCACATAATGGAATGTGCAAGAGAAATACATTTGTGTTGGCTGCAACACTGTCCACTGGGGGGGAATGTCAGGTGAGCACCCAGGGCTCAGGCCAGAGTTACAGCCATCCAAGAACTAGCAGGAAACCACTCATCTGCCCCTGCCCCTCAGAATGAGCCCTTGGAGGGACTGTTCCCAAAGGCCAAGAAAGAGGCTCTTGTACCAGCACAGCAATACTGTCCTCTCTTGAGACCGTTGCTGTTCTGTACACACAAATGTCAGAGCCATATACAGGGTTTTCACATTTCCCCCGGTATCCATTCCACTCTGCAGACTGTAGACGGGATCCTGGCCATGAAGCAGTAAAATCCTTTACTTCCTGTCCCGCCAAACATCCCTGTCATAATAAAATCCACAGACAAACTTTACTGATCATTTTCTATCACTCTAGGAGCAAATGCGGGGAGAGGGAACAAAGTGAGCTATTTTTCTTAGCTGAGCAGTGAGGAAAACATGATAAGTGGTGACAAGAAAAGATCTGTGTTCTGAGGGACATTTAATGATTCGTGAGGACCACCCCCTCTACCACCACTATCCCCCAAGGGGTGGTGTGGGTGAAGGAGGAGGCAGCTCATTAGTGCTGTTAGTCTGTCAGACTGCTGTCAGGACTGCAGTGACTATGGGGGCGGGGGGGGGGGTGCGGAGAATGCCAAAGAAGGGACAGTTCTTACTTTAAACGAATGGGAAGGTATTTTTGAAATGAAGATCAATACTTTATTGTAAAAAATGATGGGAAGGGACCATTCTTTAACTGAATACCAATACTGCCTAATAGTCGTGGCCAGCTCAGACCCTGCAAACCTGATGATGTTGGGGAAAGCAGGCAGGGCTGACGTCCAATGATCCTGCAAGTGATATGCCACTGCTCCTGGTGCCTTGGCATCCCTGTACCCCATCTGCAGTCCCAACATCCATATTTAGTCATCTTCATCGGCCTTTGGTAAGACATTGAGGACTAAGTTTAGTGATGATCTCTTATTTTATCCATTTTACTAGAAGATTCTTTTTTTTTTTTTTTTAATGTTTATTTTTGAGAGAGAGAGACAGAGCATGAATGGGGAAAGGGCAGAAAGAGAGGGAGACACAGAATCTGAAGCAGGCTCCAGGATCCAGGCTCTGAGCTGTCAGCACAGATCCTGATATGTGGCTCAAACCTATGAACTGTGAGATCATGACCTGAGCCAAAATTGGACGCTTAACTGACTGAGCCACCCAGGTGCCCCAGAAGATTCTTAATTAATAAGAATTTTAAGGAATCATGGGGCACCTAGGCATGCAGGTTGAGTGTCTGATTCTTGATATTGGCTCAGGTCATGATCTAGTGGGCATGAGATCAAGCCCCTTGTCATGCTCCAAGCTGACAGCGCAGAGCCTGCTTGGGATTCTCTCTTTACCTCTCTATCCACCCTTACCCTGCTCATGATTGCTCTCAAAATAAATAAATAAACATTACAAAATAATTGTAAGGAATCTCTAAAGATAATAATATATCAGGCATTTGTAATAGACATTTGGTAGATATTCTGTGGCTGGAGATCCTATGAAGCACCTTGTTTTAATAGGTAGATATTCCATACCTGGAGATCCTGTGCAATACATCTTCCAAATCTGAGGATATCCACATACCAAATGGTGAGCTTAAAACAGTTGAACAGCCAAACTCTAAGGTTACCTAACTGGCTGGCCTCGTCTCCACTGTATTTGCATTAGAAATACAGAAATGAGAAACTGAAAATATTCTCAGATGATACAGCTTGCTTCATATATGGGGACCTGTCCTCTTGATATTCTCTCATTGGAATATTTTTCCCCAGATTTCTCTCAGCCTTGCCTCCTGTGGTAAGCAGAATAATTATCCCTCCACCCCATATGTCCACTTCTTAATGCCTACAATCTGTGAATGTGTTAGATTTCATGGCAAGGAGAAATAAGGTTGCAGGTGGAATTAAGGTTGCTAAACAGGTGATTCTGTGATGGAGAGATTACCTGTATTATCTACATAGGCCCAATGTAATCAACAAAGGTCTTTATAAGTAGAAGAGGAAAGCAGAAAAGATAGGTCCAATGTGAGAAGGACAGTCTGATGTTGCCAGCTTTGAAGATGGAGGAATGGGGACACAAATCAAGGAATGTGGACAGCTGGAAAAGGCAAAAAAACTGATTCTCTCTTAGAACCTGTAGAAGGAATGCAGCCATAGCAACACCTAGCATTTAGCCTAGGAAGACCTATTTTGGACTTCTCAGCTCAAAAACTGTATAAGTTTCTGTGTGTGTGTGTGTGTGTGTTTTAAGCCACTGTTTGTGGTAGTTTTTACAGCAGCAATAGAAAACTAATACATCTCCTTATCATTTCATCTAAGTTCAAATGTCATCTTCTTAAAGAGACATTTCTTAATATCTCACACCTGCTAAAGTATCTCACTACACACTTATTTTCATTTGATTATAATTATCTAAAGATTTTTTTTTTTTTTTTTTTTTTTTGAGAGGGAGACAGAGACAGAGCACCAGCAGGAGAGGGGCAGAGAGAGGGAGACACAGAATCCGAAGCAGGATCCAGGCTCTGAGCTGTCAGCACAGAGCTCGATTGCGGGGCTCGAACTCACAACTGTGAGATTATTATGACCTGAGCCTAAGTGGGCCCTTAACGACTGAGCCACCCAGGCACCTCTGATTATAATTATCTAAAATTATTTTCTGTTGATTCCTCTTCCTTTTCACAAGAATGTAAATTCTAGGAGGGTGAGGACTTTGTTGCTCTTTTCACCTATGTATCTCCATTGCTTACGATACCACTACATGATAGACATCCAATAAATATTTGTTGCATGAATGCGCTTTAAGCTAACGACCGTAACACTTGCCACTGCTGAATCACAACTAGAAGACACCTGTTAGAAGAGTCCCATGCCTGGGTAGGTCCTATGTTGCAAGAAACTGCTCAATAGAAAGCAGGGGTAGAAACATACCAAATGGGAATTAACAAATAAGCAATCAGTTGCTTAATTTTAGCTAATTTAGAAAGCTTGAAGACTAAGTACCATCCGTGGGCAACTGCAGCCTAATGAGTCCTCTGCCAAGAAGTAACCAGTTTGGGAAGACCAGAAAGGGGTGAAAAAATACATGATTAATTCAGGTTACCTACATATTCCATAATCACAATCCTTAGATCACACACACAAAAATGCCTCATAATGACCAAGGGACAAATGAGTAAAACAGGGCAGATTATTTTCTTTGTATGTTGATGAGGCAGTTCTCAAGTGGAAATTTTTAAGATTATCAGGTTTAGCTCAAAACTGAATTCGGATAATCTTTGAAATTTTGTCACTCTTAAATAGTTTGTTTAAAAGTTCCTTATTTAATAATTCCTAAAAAGACTCCCTCAGAAAGGGCTGGCAGCAGCCCAGTGGGGAAGGCTGTCTCCTTCGCCCTGCCCTGGGGTCAACACCCTGGAAAAGGCCTTCAGGAGATCGCCTAAGAGCCACGCCCAGATCCAAAGGCTCGCACCCGCCTCTGCACTGTAGACTCTGAGCGGTACAGAGCTGGGAGTAAATGTCGGGAGCGGCCAGAGGACTCTACGCTCAGCCAGCCAATGGCCAGGGAACGGGGGCGGGACCTCGGGATGTCCGGCCAATAGGAGCACGGCGGGGCAGAAGGGCGACCCCACTCCACGGCGGTGGGGGTTCGTAGCCCCAGCCCCCGGCCCAGGCAATGTGGGGCCCTCCGGGTGCCGAGGCGTGCGTGGCGGCGCTCGGAGGCGTGCTCTTTTTGCTGTTCTTCGCGTTTGGGATCCGCCAGCTACTGAAGCAGAGGCGGCCCACTGGCTTCCCTCCCGGGCCGTCGGGGCTGCCATTTATCGGCAACATCTACTCGCTGGCCGCCTCAGGCGAGCTGCCCCACGTCTACATGAGAAAGCAGAGCCAGGTGTACGGCGAGGTACAGCCCGATGGGCTACGGGCAGGGAGGGCCCGGGTCTACCTCCGGGGTGGACCTGACGGCGGCTCCCGGGCCCGAGCTGTCGTCCCCAACCCTAAGTGCAAGTGACTTGAAGGGAAACCCCGCCCAGCCAGAGTCCCCACCCTTCCAAAGCCCAGCGGGATCCGGCTGGGCCAGGCCCCCAGCAAGGGCGCGGAGGTTGTGCTCCCACGCCTGCGCGGTGGAGCTCCGACCTCTTTTCTTTTTTCTCTTTTCTTTTCTTTTCTTTTCTTTTCTTTTCTTTTCTTTTCTTTTCTTTTCTTTTCTTTTCTTTTCTTCTTTTCTCCTCTCGCGGGAGTTAGGCGTGTATTCGGTTCTACCCACGGATTCTTGCGAAAATGAGGCTTTCGAAGTGTAGGTCCTGGTTAATGTTTTTAATAGGAAGTTCCTGAATGTTTGCATCTGAGGATGCCTGGTCTAGGCGTCCCTGGTCTAGGCATCTGCTGGGGGGGTGGGGGGTGGGGGTGTAAGAAAGCGCAGGTGAAGGCCCTTGGCCAAGATGCGCTCTCGAAAATTCATTGTGAAAGCGAATGAATTTATGACTAAAAATCGATGCGGAGGCCTACAGCGCAGAGCAGTGTCGCCCTGACCAGCCAGGAGCATCTTAGAAAACACTGAGCCAGGTGCCCTCTGGTAAACTCACGACCAACCGCAGGGCCAACTTCCGGCCTCTCCCACTAACCATTTACAGTGTCTCCCACTGTCTAGAGAAGGAAAGTTTGGCACAGAAATGCTGAGTGACTTGCAGACAGCAGCTAGGCCCCTCCATGCAGGGGACAAGGCCGGGAATCAACCTTGTGATTGGAAAGGTGTCCTGACCCCAGAAGGAGACAGAAGTTTCCAGAGCATCGGCCCTGGCTGAGCTCACCTGTTATGTTTCGAATCCATCCATTCCTATGCAGCAGGAAGCTAGGCTGTGTGCCAGGTGCTGGAGATGTGGTGAGGAAGGCAGACACGGCCCGATTTCAGGGGGTTCGAGACCACTGAGAGAGCAAATCTAGATATCGACCACAAATTGTGAATGCTTAGAAGGAAAAGTAGAGCATTGCTGTTTGGCAATTGTGGTATTTCAGGTTGGGGCTTAAAACCTTATCTGAACCAGTGTTTACAAGAATTACCCTGGATTTTGGTACCTCGGTAACCGTTAACGTTGTTAAAAGGTAAGTGGGCTTAGGTAAAGCAGATGTATGTAGTTCTTACATTTTTTTTGTCAGCCTTCCGGTTCTCCAGGAGTTGAGTGTATTTCTGTGATTTCCACTGAGTGTATATGAGCTCTGGTATGTGGGTACAAAGCATCATGAATTCTTTTTTTTTTTTTTTTAACTATTTATTTAGAGAGAAGGAAAGAATCCCAAGCACACTCCACACTGTCAATGCAGAGACCATTGAGATCATGATCTGAACCAAAACCAAGAGTCAGACACTCAACCGAGCCAGCCAGGCACCCCTATTCTAGAGAAATCATAAGATGTGAAAGGAGGCATGAGCCTAGCAGTTGAGTCCTCTTTTGTCAGATAAAACTGGACTTTTTCCTCTCTGAATGTTAATTTTTCCTCTTGTGTAATGAGAATAATGACTAGAAACAGTTAACTGCTTCTCAAATGTTCTTGGTTATAAATTTCAGAACAATTTATTAGGTCTACAACATAAAAAGTATATTTAAGCTAATTATGTGAAACACTGTCTTGCAGAATAGGAAGTTGTTTTTCATATATAAATATTTGAACTGATAGGATCATTGTATTTACAATGAACATTCTTTTCCAGAAGGGAGTAACCTGAGTTTCCTATCAAAATAGATTACAAATTATACAAGACTTCATTTTGGGATAAGTAGATCTGGTTCAATGTATTTAAGAATTTGGCATGAGTAATTCGTTTTATTGCTGTTACGACTGTTTGAGGTAACCACGGTTCTTTACAAAGAGGGCAATTTACTGGAGGTGGTAAAATCAAGTAGTGCTATTAAGTACAGGAAGAACAGAGGAAGAGAGGAGAAAAAAATGAAAAGGATGTATGCATTGAAGAGTAGATAACTGTTTGCCTGACTCTGCCCTTACACTTAAGTTGAAAACTACCTAACATATTGAAAACCACACCTAACATACTAATTCTTTCAGCTATAACAACATTTGATCCTTTTTTTTTTAAGTTTATTTATTTGTTTTGAGAGAGACAGAGACAGTGCGAGTGGGGGAGGGACAGAGAGGTGGGGGACAGAGAATCCCAAGCAGGCTCCGCACTGTCAGCACAGAGCCTGACTCGGCTCCACCTCACAGAACTGTGAGATCATGACCTGAGCTGAAACCAAGAGTCAGACGCTCAACTGACTGAGCCACCCAGGTGCCCTGATCCTTTTGTTTTAAATTGTAGTTGACACACAGTGTTAAATTTTAGGCATAAAGTGTAGTGATTTAGCAATTCTGTGCCCTATGCTAGTCTCACCACAATGTGACTACCATCTGTTACCATGCATTGCTATTCTAGTACCATATTCCCTATGCTGTACCTTTTATTCTCATGACTTACTCATTCCATAACTGGCAGCTTGTACCTCCCACTCACCTTCACGCATTTTGTCCATCCCCTCATCCCCTCCCCTCTGGCAACCACCAGTTCTATGTATTTATGGGTCTGTTTCTGCTTTTGTCTTTGTTTTTAGATTCTACATATAAGCAAAATCGCATATGTCTTTCTTAGCATAATAGCCTCTGTGTCCATTCATGTTGTCCCAGATGGCAAGATCTCATCTTTCTTATGGTTGAGTAATAATAATGTGTACATTATATCACGTATTCATACTTTCATATATTGATGGACATTTAGGTTGCTTCCGTATCTTGGCCATCATAAATACTGCTGTCATGAACATAGCAGTGCATGTATCTTTTTGAAACAGTGTTTTCAGTTTTTTTGGACAAATACCCAATAGTGGAATTACTGAATTGCATGCTATTTCTAATTCCGATTTTTTGAGGAACCTTCATACTGTTTTCCACAATAGCTGCACCAATTTACATTCCCACTAACAGTGTACAGGGCTTCCTTTTTCTCCACGTCCTTACCAATATTTGTTATTTCTTGTCTTTTTGATACTAGCCATTCTGACAGGTATAAGGTGATATCTCATTGTGGTTTTGATATGCCATTTTCCTGATGATTAGTGATGTTGAGCATCTTTTCATGTGTCTTATGACGTGTGTGTCTTATGTGGAAAAATGCCTATTTGAGTCCTCTACCCATTTTTAATTGGATTATTTGTTTTACTGGTGTTGAGTTGTATAATTTATCTGTTTTGGATAGGAAACCCTTATGGGATATACAATTTGCAGATACCTTCTCCCATTCAGTAGGTTGCCTTTTCAGTTTTCTTTTTTTTTTTAATGGTTTCCTTTGCTGTTTACAAGTTTTTATTTTTTTATGTAATCCCAATAGTTTATTTTTGCTTTTGTTTCCCTTGCCTGAGGAACATATCTATAAATAAATTGCTAAGGGAAATAACCAAGTGAATACTCCCTATGTTCTCTTCTAGGATTTTTATGATTGTAGGACTCACATTCAGGCCTTTAATCTAGTCTGAGTTTATTTTTGTACATGGTGTGAGAAAGTGGTCCAGTTTCATTCTTTGCATGTATCGGTCCGGTTTTCCCAACACCGTTTGTCTTTTTTCCCATTGAATGTGCTTGCCTCCTTTGTTGTAGATTAATTTTATATTAATGGGTTTATTTCTAGGCTCTCTTTACTGTTCCATTAATCTGTGTGTCTGGGTTTTTTTGCAGGATCATAGTATTTTGATTATTATATCTTTGTAGTATATCTTGAAATCTGGGATTATGATACCTCCAACTTTGTTTTTGTTTTTCAAGATTGCTTTGCCTATTTGGGGTCTTCTATAGTCCCTTACAAATTTTAGGATTATTTGTTCTAGTATTTCTAGTTCTGTGAAAAATGCTGTTGGTATTTTGATAGGGATTGCATTAAATCTTTAGATTGCTATGGATGGTATGGACATTTAAACAGTATTGGTTCTTCTAGTCCATTAGCATGGAATATCTTTCCATTTGTTTGTGTCATCTTCAGTTTTTTTATAAGTGTTTTATAGATTTCAGAGTACAAGTTTTTCACCTCCTAGGTATTTTATTATTTTGGGTGCTATTATAAATGGAATTGTTTTATTAATTTCTTTTCCTGTTACTTCATTATTGTGTATAGCAATCCAACAGATTTCTGTATATTGATTTTGTATCCTACAGCTTTACTTATGCATCTATTACTTCTAATAGTGTTTTGGTGGGGTCTTTAGATTTTCTATGTATAGTATCATGTCATCAACAAATAGTTTTACTTCTTCCTGCCAATTTTGGTAACTTTTATTATTTTTCTTGTTTGATTATTGTGGATAGGACCCCAGTACTATGTTGAATAAAAGTGGTGACAGTGGACATCCTTGTCTTGTTCCTGATCTTAGGGAAAAAACTCTTAATTTTTCACCATTGTGTATGATGTTAGCTGTGGGTTTGTTATATATGGACTCTATTATATTGAGATATGTTCCCTCTAGTTGAGAGTTTTCATTATGAACAGATGTTGAGTTTTTTCAGATGATTTTTCTGCATCTGTTGAGATGATCATCTCATTTTTATCCTTTATTTTGTTAATGTGGTGTATCACATTGTTGAGTTTCGAGTATTGAAACAGCCTCGCATCCCCGGAATAAATTCCACTTGATCATTTTAATTAATTTTTAAATTTGGTTTACTAATATTTTGTTGAAGATATTTGGTTCTGTGTTCATCGAGGATATTCGCCTGTAGTTTGGGGTTTTGTGTGAGTGTTTGTGTGTGTGTGTGTTTGTAGTGTCTTTGCTGTTACTATCAGGGTAATGTTGACCTTGTAGAATGTATTTGGAAGTTTTCTCTCCTCTTCTTTTTGGAACAGTTTGAGGAGAATAAGTGTTAACT